AGGATAATGAGTTCAAGACAATTCAGGTTTAAAACCTAAACTTGTAATGAAAGATTAGAAAGCAAGAAACTGAGAAACAGGTAGACAAATTCAAATGAGCACTTACTCCGCAAGACAAAAAACAATGTTCAGTAATTTGGAGGTATTAAAAAAAAAGATATACCAGTTGCAGGGAGTATAAGCCTAGAACTCGAGCTTGTCCCTTATGTCTTTGGTTTCTTTTTTGAGATAGAGTTTCAGAGCTGAGGATGGTCTAGGATAGAGATCCTACTACCTCTGCTTCCTACATAGCTAGGACTATATATTACCATACCTGGCTTGTTTTTTAAATAGGGTGTTGACAACTTTTGTCCAACTGGAATATACCTATCTCTGCCTTCTGAGTAGCTGGGATAATAAATGTAACCACCATTCCCAGTTTTGGTTTTGGTTTTATTTTGAGACAGGGTCTCACTAAATTGCCAGGTTGACCTTGAAATTATGAACCTCTTACCTCATTTCCCTCCTGAGTTGCTGGGATTATAGTTGTGCATCACTATGCCTGGCTAAAATGTGCAATTTAGTGTGTATGATTTATCTTTGGTAGGTTAAATCTGATTAATAACATACATTGTAAAACAGAGTGACCACTCACAAATTTCTTGAAAGCAACCCATGAAGATAAAAGTGAAAGCATAATAAATGTTCAATAAATCCAACAGAATGTAGAAAAGGAAATGAAAACAAAGAACAGATAGAACAGAAAACATAAAGATGAGAGATATTAATCCAAACATGAACTAAGCACCAAACAGAATAAATTTGTATAGCTTTCTTGAGATATAGCTTGCATATAAAATTCACTTACTGTAAATACAGAGAGAGTTAAGTGGTTTTTGGTAAATTTAGAGTTAAGAATTAGTCAAATTCAATTTTTTTTTGCTGATAGTGGGGCTTAACTCAGGGCTTGGCTGCTGTCTCTAAGCTTTTTTTGCAAGACAAGTGCTTTACCACTTTGAGCCACAGCTCCACTTCCATTTTCTGCTTGTTTTTTGGAGATAAAAGGTCTCACAGACTTTCCTGCTTGGCCTGGCTTTGAACCATGATCCCCAGATCTCAGCCTTCTAAGAAGCTAGAATAACTGGTATGAGCCACCAGCATCCAGGCAGATTCAATTTTTTTTTCTTTTTTTTTTGGTCCGGTCGTGGGGCCTGAACTCTGGGCCTGAGCACTGTCCCTCAGCTCTTCAGCTCAAGGCTAGCACTCTACCACTTGAGCCACAGC